GTGACTTTATTCGTGAAACTGTTAAATCTAAAGTGCGAGGAATGCCTCCATATCACAGTTATGTTACGCCGTATGGATAATTAGTGAACTCAAAAACAGGCAAATGGAAAGACAAAATCAGTCAAATGGTCCTGTCCATGATTCGTGTAGAGAACTTGTTTAACAACAAAACACTGTTATATACTGTATCTTTATTATTTGATTTGTACTGTTAACTGTCATTACATGGTATTTTAACCATACCATACCGTTTAGTCGATTTTACTTAATCGTCATATCGGATTTTCTTTTGCTAATGACAGCAAAAAGTCTTAGATAAAATAACAATAATATATGTTTATTCGTGTTTAATATGTTGAAATCGTTTATTGCAAGGTAGACACATTCTTGTCAAAGGTTACATGATCAGACTCACTTCTAGATAAAAATATCAATCAATCTTCCATCAATACAAGACTATCATATGGTAGCAGTGTACAGTAGAGGGTTGTGGCCATGGGTGATATTTTTGTTAAATGGCTAACCCCTGTATAATGATATGTAAAAAAATTATAAAAATAAAACTGTACTAAAATTGGTATAAGCATGATGAAGTGGGCTATGTGAGCTTCACATTTGTAAAAAAGAAAGAAGATTTCTTTGGTTCGAGAATAAAATTTTGGCCATAATACGAAAGGGTGCGTACACATGAAAAGCTAGCTTTACAGGAGGTAAAATTTTGACAACAGCACACGACGCAAAATTGCAAAAAATCAAGTTCTACAATTTTACTGCGACCCAGATAATTCTGCAACCAGGTAGGTAATCTTTAATTTCAGACAGAGCTTAGGAAAAAAATTACTACTTGCGGGGGTCAAATTTTGGGTTAAAAATAGCATTTTTTGGCATTTTTTGGTAATTTTTGATGTGGTAACCATGGTTTTCACACAAGTGACATACATAGAAAAAAGAGGTTTATACACTTCTCAGTGCTTTATATGTATTGTAAATGTAATGCAGTTTACAAATATATATACATGTATACATGTGTTGTGTAGGGTAAATCCGCTGTGTTTACATTTCCTCGACATGTGCCTTGTTTATCAGAGTCGGGCCATTTCTACTGTATTCTGCTACCTATAGGTAAAATATACAAAATCCAACAAGGTTTTTCAGATTTGTATTACAATATGCGTATGTCTTGCGTATGTCTTTTAATCAAAAAGTAGTTTTTATCATGATAAAAAGCTGTTTAATAGTATCGGATAAGTCATCATCCGACTGAGTATTAAATCCTTATTTTAATGCTATATATTGTGCTTGCTTTATTGCAAATTAGTAACACTATATTAAAAAAAAATATTTATAGTTACCAATTCCGTCTTTGCGTATTGCAGAGTTATCTTCTCTTGTGAGCAGGTATTGATTGTTACGTCATTGGTTTGTGTGAGAAAATTACGTCGTTTTCTCAGAAATTGATGACGTTACTCTCACAAATTAATGACGTAACAATCAATACCTGCTCACAATTGCAGATAATTCTGCACTACGAAAAGACGGAATAAACCTGCAGGCAGATAATCCTTACACTTATTATGAACTAGTGTTGACTAGAATTGTTAATACTATCCATTTACACAATCCACACCTAAATGGGATTGATGGTAACACTCGATCAACATTATACTCTATGTAAATGCCATCACTTTTCACTCGGTGTTTTTGGTTTTGTACACATACATCCTTTCCATCGATACTACATCGCAAAAAGTGACAATTTGCAGTATGGATACCAGCAGATGTAAACAAATTGTGAAAAAAGTGAAAAATGAGATTTTTTTTATCTACTTCTGTGTCATTTGAAACGGACACTATTAAAAAGGAACTACTTTTTTACCATGACAAGATAAAAGATCAAAGGAAAGTCAATGTAAAGGTCAGAGAAAGCGTTTTGAATATCGGGAGTGAAGTCTTCGGATCAATATCGATAGAGGTGGAATTATTAGAACCAAAATGTTGTTCCTGTAAAAAGGAAGGAATGAAATCAGACAAATCATTCGATTATCAATACAAAACAATTAGAAGAACACATTCTGAGGCCTGCCTCAATCGAGAAGACGATACTGTTCCGAAACGTCTAAGGTAACTACCTTTAACAAATAAGATAATTATACTTTTGATATAGTTTGACAGAATTTATGAAGAATCTTTACACCAGGGATGTGGTCAACACATCCAAATTGACAACTATCATTCAGATTACCATCCAGGATGCTTTGTACACAAATTTTCCATTATATATGAACTGTACTTGCTACCTGTCTATTGTTCATATAACCTACGTGCATACATTTCAAAACATATGATCCACAGCATCATTTAAATGTCCATTCTAATGTTTAGGTATTTAATAATCTCTTTGCCTTATTCATGTATTTTCTAATATTACAGAGTCATTGTGGTGTATGCATTCCATGATTTGTAATATTCTAACATTGGCTTTTAAAAAAAAATGTAACCAGTGTTTCAATACACATATACTATATAAAGGTACCATGCATATCAGTGAAAGCAAGTAAAGAGTACAGGCTTGGTTGAAACATATAGGCATAGAAGATTTTAAAAAGTGTATAAAAATTCCAGAGGAATGCAACTCATTTTTTCAGGGTTTAGGGTTTAGTATTGTTTAACGTCCTGTCAACAGCTATGGTCATTTAAGGACGGCTTCCCCTGTGTGCAAGATGCATGCGTGTAGTGTATGCGTGCGATTTTTGGGAGGCTGCGATATGTTCGTGTTTGTCTCCTTGTGGTAGCGCGGAACTGATGCCGACTTTACAGTGCTACCTCACTGAAACAAACTGCCGAAGACGCCCACCCGGTCACATTATACTGACAACGGGCGAACCAGTCCTAAATTGCTGAGCGTTACGCCGGAGTAGAAACTACCATTTTTACAGATTCCGGTATGTCTCGGCGAGGGGACAGAACCCAAAGCCTTCCTCACAGGAGCGAACGCCCAACTAAAGGCCAAAAGTGAGGCATTGTTAAGGGAAACTAGGAAGAAGAAAGTTGTTTAGAAAGAAGAGAAAAGATAAGATGCCAAATTTAGTCGCCTCTTACGATCATGAAATGGGGGCAGTAGGTACAATTCTTACGCCCTACCTGTAGGGACAACTCATTTGTTCATCATTCTTATGAAAGATCTGATGGTAAGATAAAATCAATTTGGAAATATCCTTTGTTAGAGAAAAAAATAAAAATAAAATAAAAAAAAGCATACTTGTGCGAATAAAGGTGATAGACCTGACAGGAATGTTGTATATTTTATTTATTTTATACCACCAGTGACTACAAGGTAAGTATGATAACAGTGGAAAAGTCTTTAAGGTAAGTTATAATGTAATCACATCTATCATCTAAAACAAACCAAGTATCCTACATTTAGCTATTAAGTATTCAAACCAACAACACATACAAGCTTACATGATGGTTTTGAGGTAGCCCGGTGTTGTTTATATTAACATGACTACAAAATCAAACTAAAAAAACACAAAATCAACAGTATTGGCACTATCTGGACTGTTTATATCACTAACACGTTAATGAGACCTAAAATATAGTAAAACCTTGGAATGTTATAACCAATTACAATGGAGGTAGATTCAAACATACGAGCTGACTATTTGACAAAAATAGATTATTATCTGCGTAACGTTACATGTAACAACTGGATTTTTTTTTCTATACTTTAAAGTATTTGTCCTCAATCAAAACATGTACATCATCACAAAATGAAAAGGACATAGAAAAATTTAAACTGCATATATTAATAATGCAATCATAGCAACATCAGGTAAAATAAGTTTACTAATGAATATTTGTCACTGAAGCTTACATGATGGTTTTGAGGTAGCCTGGTGTTGTTTATATTAATATGACTACAAAATCAAACTAAAAAACTACAAAATCAACAACATTGGCACTAAATGGACTATTTATATCACTAACACGTTAATAAGACCTAAAATATAGCAAAACGTTGGAATGTTAGAACCAATGACAATGGAGGTAGATTCAAAGATATGAGGTGACAATTTGACAAAAATAGATTTTTTTTGCAGTAAGTTAAATGTAACAACTGGATTATTTTTTTCTAGACTTCATTGACACTAAATGGATTGTTTCTATCACTAACACGTTAATAAGAACATGCATGCAAAAAAAAAAGTCTTTCCTCTTTCTATAGCACCACACTACACATGCTACCCCCAACACTGCACTGCAGCTATACAGCCTAAAAAATAAAAACGGGTGTTTCTTAAATTGTACATTTAGTAGTGATGGGGTAGCAACTGGATATACCCTGTTAACTGCATACTAACCTCAGTCAACATCAATAATCAATATTGCATTTTTTTATAGTTATCAGTACTAACTTTAATGTAATATCATTTTGAATTCAAGCTACTGGTAAATATAGTATCAGATACTGGTAATCCAATAGAGACATCATTCAACATATTGAGAAAAAACTTAGACTCATATATTTATGAAGGTGAACACCAAAACCAAATTAACCTTCAACTACATCTTTTCTCAAAACTGTCGTGTTTGTTTTCACTCGAGTCCAACTTGTGTATGCTCCATCTATTTTCTTTTAAATCAACATGAATATAAATCTTAACGAAAATGATACCCAGGGATTTACTTATAAAAGACAATTGAGTAGTGAATGTGCTGTATCAGGCACCGTAATGATAAAAAGTGATGAACCTTTACTAAATTGGACGTGACAGTACTATCCCAGAGGAATAACGAGGCGAGAGCGTTAACAAATTTGATTGAAATACAAATGCCGGTAAGTAATCATTGCACATGTCTATCTTAAAAAAGTATCTAACTTATATAACAAAAAGGACTTTTGCTATATTATTCCTTTATTGCTGTATTTCGGATAAAATGTCTTCGTTAGGCTATGTTGAACATAGGGACACTCTGAACGCTCTGTTACACTTGGCGCCATGGCTCAGGCAAGCTCATTCGGACAAGTTGAACAAATGGAATATGAGAGGTCGGACGGCGAGAAGATCAGAAAACTGGTGATGCCCATTAACAGTTATCTTAATTTGAATGTGACTTATTTCGATAAGGCCTTTATCCAAGCTATTGTTTTAAATCTGTACAGATTTAACAAGAACGAGAAGTGGTAAGTTGAAGCATGAATTATATCATTTTCGACGAAGTATATATTTTATACCTTAACCCTCTTATTTACTTGCACATACCTATATACAATATTTAAAATCTGTATAGATTAAACAAGAACGAGATGTGGTAAGTTAAAGCATGAATTATAAGATATCGTATATTTTATACCTTTATACTATAATTTACTTACACATACCTATATATCATTCTTATATATTCTTTTGGTCTTTTTTCCCATTTAGAATAATCACAAGGAAAGTAATGTAAGTTGCTTATAGAATTACACATCATTTTCGCAATGATTCCAATCTCGTCGTACTTATCACACTACTTACATTCTCTGTCTTTTCACTACTTGCACCTTTCTATATGTACAAAGAGAAAGCATCCATATAAGAGGCAGCAGCAGCAGCCACAACAACAGCTATAACAGTAGCTACCACAACAACAGCTACAACAGTAGCTACCACAGCAGCAGCTACAACAGTAGCTACCACAACAACAGCTACAACAGCAGCAGCTACAACAGTAGCTACCACAACAATAGCTACAACAGTAGCTACCACAGCAGCTTCCACAACAACAGATACAACAGTAGCTACCACAACAACAGCTACAACAGTAGCTACCACAGCAGCAGCTACAACAGTAGCTACCACAACAATAGCTACAACGGTAGCTACCACACCAGCAGCTACAACAGTAGCTACCACAACAACTGCTACAACAGGAGCTACCACAACAACAGCTACAACAGTAGCTACGACAACAATAGCTACAACAGTAGCTACCACAGCAGCTTCCAAAACAACAGATACAACAGTAGCTACCACAACAACAGCTAAAACAGTAGCTACCACAACAGCAGCTACAACAGCAGCTACCACAACAACAGCTACAACAACAACAGCTACAACAGTAGCTACCACAGCAGCAGCTAGAAGAGTAGCTACCACAACAACAGCTACAACAGAAGCTACCACAACAACAGCTACAACAACAGCTACAACGACAACAGCTACAACAGCAGCAGCTACAACAGAAGCTACCACAACAATAGCTACAACAGTAGCTACCACAGCAGCAGCTACAACAGTAGCTACCACAGCAGCAGCCACAACAGTAGCTACCACAACAACAGCTACATCAGTAGCTACCACGACAACAGCTACAACAACAGCTACAACAACAACAGCTACAACAGTACCTACCACAACAACAGCTACAACAACAACAGCTACAACAGTACCTACCACAACAACAGCTACAACAGTACCTACCACAACAACAGCTACAACAGTACCTACCACAACAACAGCTACATCAGTAGCTACCACGACAACAGCTACAACAACAGCTACAACAACAACAGCTACAACAGTAGCTACCACAGCAGCAGCTACACCAGTAGCTACCACAACAACAGCTACAACAGAAGCTACCACAACAACAGCTACAACAACAGCTACAACAACAACAGCTACAACAGTACCTACCACAACAACAGCTACAACAGTACCTACCACAACAACAGCTACATCAGTAGCTACCACAACAACAGCTACAACAACAGCTACAACAACAACAGCTACAACAGCAGCAGCTACAACAGTAGCTACCACAGCAGCAGCAATTTGATGATTTCGCGTTCTACTAAACGTGTTTGCAGACCTTGTGACAATGGAATGACATATATAAATTGCATGAAATTTATTAAATAATTGAATATTCTTTAATAAAAGATCTAATTACTAATACACTTTTTTGTTTTTTTTGATATGCCAAAATACATACATGTTTGTCGTAGACTTTGGTGCGTTAATAAACTGATATACCATTGTCACGACAATGCCTCTTAAATTGTATGCGTAATGGTTTGTGGTCTATACTACAGTCTTCCCTCGCAAAGGAACGTTCAATTGTGAAAACAAAGAAGATATAATTAAATGTATGGGTTCCACATCTTCCGCATCGCTTATCGCTGTTCCATTTCCTTTAACAATTTTAACTTTTGCATAGATGAGACTGTTCTTCAAATCTAACAATTCTAATCCGTTTTGACCAGAAACCACAAATTTGACGGGCGAATCATTGCTTATTTGTGAAATGAGTAAAACATTTTGATTATATACATTTTCGACAGCCGTTTGTGTTGGTGGGAGCTCGAACAGGGCCTATTCCGAAGGATGTGCCTCTCTAAAAAAAACTCGTTGTTTACCGTAGGCATTGCGATATGAGACTATTGTTTGTCTTCTTAGTTTTTGACTTATTTGGATGTTGCTTCTTAGTTTTTGAGGTGTGAACTCGACGACGTTTTGTTGTCAAATGACGACCAGACGAAAACCTATGCCTTTCGAGCTCAAATTTCGCTTGTTCGACAACTTGTTGTGCTGGTGACACTATGTTAACACTAACGTCTCGTGCTGGTAAGGATTTTTCTCTTTCGCTGCTGTTTTTGTCTATGGAAATCATAAATTCGTTGGAATTCTAAAATAAGGCTCCTCCCCATCGTTTAACATTCCTGTTAATATTGTTTGCATATGCATTTTCCTTGCCGTGTGCTACGTCTTGGTAATTTTTCCGCTACTTTCCCACATTAGGAACATACATCTTTGAAACATGGTTACTGTTTGAAGTGAAGCGTAATCGTCGCTCTGCCTTTTAAGAATGAAACTAGTTCCACTTTGCCAGTCTTTATACTAATTTCTATGTCTCTGATTTCAGATTAACTCACAGGAATGTAGAATGAGTTATCAAATGTCTGTGACCACTTTCCTACTTTCATCGCCCTCACCACTCGAAGAAGATTATCTTTTTCCCTGTCGACAAAACTTTCACTGCAAATGTCACTATGCACGTACACATTTTGTTTCGTCTTTGATGTACTTAGTGGTAGGGTTATATAAACTAAAGCAACTTTCCAGATTCCGTCGAGATTTAGCAGAGATCGGAAATGTGATCGAAAATGTACGGTATTGTTTTCAGGAAAATATGCATGACTTTTATCACTTCGGATAACCACATAGTATGACATCTTAGGCTCTCGTGACGTCTTTGATATCTTTCTCCGCAATCCCACTGGTTATATTTTGAGGGCCAACCTTCAAATTTTATAAGCCAATGGATCTAGCTGTCCCCCTCTTTTGCGTGTTTTTTTTTTTAATTTTCCTCGATGAACCTTAGCGCATTCTCGTCCTTGTCGACTCTTTGTAATTAAAATTGATAACAGTTTCCTTTTATGTGTTCGTTTAATAAGTCGATCAGTTGGTATTGTGGAAATACCCTGTCGCAGAAAGCGTCTATACATTTCGGAAGACCATTGCTGCTTGTAAGCTCTGGTAAAGGCTTCCTATTTTCAATCTAAACTGTTTCTTTCTCTTTTTGACTTTCCTGGGTTTTTTCTTATCTGTTTCCTTGTCTTTATTTTGAGATACATACTGGCAAATAAAGCGGCTTTGTTAGAACCGTTTACATATTCTGGGGATATGCCGTTTAATGACCTATCAGATAAGTTCTATATTTTGTGATATATCTATACATCATCGTCTTGAGCGTCCTGATAAATCTCTCGGCGTAATTGGCCTTTGTTCCATTTTGACTGATAAAATAATGTACATCATTTTCTTGAGACCATTTTATCATCAATCGATTGTTTATATCGCCTCCCTTGTCACTCCGTAGTCGCTTTGGTATTTGACCTCTTTCGACAATTTTTAAGTGCATTTCACACGTCTCTGACTATTTTTGTCTTTACATGTTCAACCCATAAGAAACGAGTGAACACGTCAATGACTACTAGGAGAAAACGATAGCCTGAATTCTACTTCAAAAGGGAGGAAACGTCTGCAAAATCTGCATCGTATTGTTCGTAGGGACTGGACAATTCTACCCGTGCTCGCTTAAATGAACGTCTTGGAGGCCTCTGTAAACTGTAATCGTCGAGACTTTGAGTATATCGTCTTATTTGATAAAGACCTGGTGATTTAAATCCTTGTGATTTCAATATTTGATGTACTTTTGTGGGACTGAGAAATGCACCGCCGTTTTTAAAGTCATAATACACCGTATTTATACGGTGTTTCTCGTCTTCTGTCAATATATTGATGATGAGACAAATATGTGTGTAAGCAATCTTTTATTACAAATCAAACAATAAAGATAAAGTATATTACAGTGTTTTATTGTTAAATCAGTTCTCTAAACGAATCATGGGCTACCATTTGACTGATCTCGTCTTTCCATTTTTCTGTTTTGAGTTCACTAACTCGCCATCCGACGTTACATAACTGTGATATGGAGGCATTCCTCGCACTTCTTGGGACGTTAGAATTAACAGTTTCTCGAATAAAGTCACGTATCACTTTCACGTCATCCACACTATCAAAGGCGACCTTTATATTACATTGTTGCTCTTTGATTTTCCACTCGTGGTATGCATATACCAGTTTTAAAAGGTTTCCCATTCTGGTGCAATCTGGCGAATTCATTATCAGAAAGTAAATAACTTATCTGAGGACTCTTTAACCAGTCTATAATTTTAAGAGGGTACGGTAGGGTAGACTGACGATCGATACACTCCACAGAAAAGTGTTTGTGTTCCCAATATTTAATGTTATTCCACACTTATAACAGGCAGTATAATCACGAAAACCTTCGTAGAAAACTCCGTTCACAAGCGAGCTGGTATGGGCTCTGAAGAATGGTATACGGCCACTGCAAGAATGCCATCAACAGGTGGGCACGGTTTGTCATGGGTTAATGGTGACCAGGTCCATATGTATATAGAAAATCAATTAATCGTATGCTACGATTAAATGAACAGCCAGGTTTCGACATTACCGATCTTCTTAACGCATTTCTTTATCTTTGCATTAAAGTTTTAAATGACATTGCACGAGACATTGCAATGTTCCTGAAGGGATACACGATTGTAGGACAAACTCACACCTAGTCTTTTCCCCTTCAAATGATTTGTTAAAGTCAACGCTTCGTCAAAATGTAAGTCTATGATATCACCACTGGTTAGCATCACACAGCTGTGTTCCAGTTGATTACACTGTTCTTCTTTACATCCAGAAAATACGAAGAGTTCTGATATTTTCGATCTTACAGCATAAGCATAAGAGAGGCACAACAGATGTTTTATGATTCTACGATTAAATAGTCTCCCAGTCTGTTAGCAAACAAGTCCTTTATGAATGTACTTTAGCACCCACATTTTTTGAATACAAACAGTAATTTGTCATTAAAGTTACTCTTCTTCTCACAGTTCGGTCAAGATCTTCATATGTCCGAGTTTGTATCGTCTTATGGGATAGAAAACACGTACATCTACCACGTTTGCATAACAGTTAAAGCCATGTTTCGGATTTACAAAACAAACAGCATCTGTAGATAAACACAGTTTTTAGACCATCGCAGGTGATATCGTGAAATCGTATGCTTCAACGAAACACCACACATAAAAACAAGTAACACAGTCTTCGATGCCAGTAAGGTAAAATGTCTCCAGTTATTTGTAAACTTTTTCTATCGTCCTTTAAACAAACTTTCACCTCACCTTTGACTTTCTTAACAATGATTTGCTGTGTTATTCCAATACGACAGGCGATACTATTAGCAGAGACTTCATAGACGTCAATGTTATCGCCACACTTGATAGCATCGATTTGACTCTAAGCCATGTAGAAGGATACCTGAAGTCTCTGGGGAACGGCTGTCTTTTATAGAAAAAATAGCTTTAACCTTTGATCCTTTAACCTCACCATTCTTAATCTATCATCACCATCCTGCCTTACTATCCTCACTATCCTCACCCTCCTTACTCTAACATTGCTATCCTGCCTCACTATCCTCACCCTCCTTCATCTCAGTATCTTGCCTCACTAACCTCACCATTCTTCTCTGACTATTTAATCTATCATCACCATCCTGCCTTACTATCACCCTCCTTACTCTAACATTGCTATCCTGCCTCAATATCCTCACCCTCCTTACTCTAACGTTACTATCCTGCCTCACTATCCTCACTAATCTCAAAAACCTCACGTGAGCCACGTGGGATGAGGTTTGATACCCTTATTTTACATCTACTATTAATAATTAATTCACCTAATTAAATTAAATTGTTCATGAAAATTGTCCTTCCTCAATGTGTTTCTAACATATAGTGTCCACATTGTGCTTCTAGTTTTAAGTGCACAATGTTCTAACAAGTTCCGTGTCCACAAAGTTATTCTAGTAAGTTGGTTCCCTTCCGTGAACTCAATTTTACCATGAGTATCTCCCCTGATCTCAATCTTCATCACCTTTTCCAAACAAGGACCAAGCTTCGCCATATTTCCTTTTTTTTCGAGCATGCGACGGAAAAAAGATCTCTTCAAACCAGACATCTTCTGGCGTTCCCGACAGTCAACTGCGGTTATCCGATAGCACATATTGTACTTTAGATATCTATTTACTCTGCCACTAGATTTAATTAGCGGTGTTTATCGCCCCTGACTTTAATCTAATCTATCATCCCCCCCCCCTTTAACATCCCCGTTCCGCAGTTAACTAATTGAAAGTGTTATTGCATACACTGGACCCGTAGCATGGTACCTGACCCGGTCGAATTATTCTGGAAAAGGCCGGACACCAGCGAAAGAAATGAAAAGACAGATAGACAGACATATACTTATTTCCTTTTGATCATTTTGGTTTCCATCGAGACTTTCCTGGTGTCCTTAAAGAAGAGGATACAGAGACGACTCCCTTGCACAAAAAAGAAAGCCGATTCTTTTTTCGGATATGAAGGAGGTGTTTTTTTTGAATTAAAGATAATAAAATAAATACATATGGCCTTTCCTTTACATTGTCTAGGGTCACCAGTACAAAATAAAAACATGAAAACCGGAAGTTACTACAAATGCTCTGGAAACTATGGCCTTTCCTATACATTGTCTAGGAACATCAATACAAAACGAAAACGTTAAAACCGGAAGTTACAATAAGTGTTTCGGAGATGTACGACGTTTCATGTGCATATTCTAGAGACACTAAAGAATAAGAGATATATCATTAAACTGGAAGTGACTAAAAGTTCTCCGGAAAGCTACGGCGTTTCATGTCTCCTGTTATCATTTGTCAGAACTACCAGCAACAAGCGGGATACTATGAGCTTGTTCATGACACGTCAATCTGTGAAATATTGGCTAAAAAGGCCACAAGTCTCGCCACAAATCTTACCTAGTATTTTTTGTGTGTGTTTAACGTGCACGTGTAGGTGTGAATACAACACCACAACTATATACGCACGTATGGATTCAATTATTGTATTTTAATTAATACTCATCCTTTTCTCTCTTATTATATTTATACAATCTACAGTTATGATAAAAAGCGTACATTGTCGTAAATAGAAAATCCCGAACATGTAATGGATGGCCATCAAATGTAGTTAGTTTAAAAAAAATCAGAATCAAAAGACACGATTGGTGTATCATCTAACCGGATATAGCAAAACATGATGACCAATCATAATGAATTCACCAAAACTGACGTCACTAAGAAAGACGTCATCTAAGAAACATTTTGTGTAAGCGGAAGCATGCCGTTTATGCGAAGTGGCGGTTACCCCCGCCACAATCACAGTTATTAGAACGACCGAGAGTCTACTTTGTTAACTTGATACTAAAGTAACTCGTTAAATTAATTGTCTTGTACTGACCTTACTGCCCAGGGAGTCCACTATCAGTTGTGCGTTAGTCCAACCTGTCAATCATCCCTACAGACTAACCGCCTCGGCAGTTTCTGTAACTACCCAGCGCAAATATTCACGTTTTATTCCCAGTGTTAATTTAAGCTAATTGTTCATTAATTATTCAAATCCATCAATTAAAGGCACCAGTCGGCGGGAGGTCATAACTCGACTTACCATTATAAATTGCAGCATACATGCTGTCCATTCATTATGAAAACCGCATACTACATTGTTACTGAGGGTCAGAGTTCAGGAGAACTATATCAGGAACTTCGTTGATATGGCAATCATGGCCAGCCGGGTGAAGAGAAGACACTCCACTCCGACATAAATCATTACGGTATCTCCTTTTACATTGTTCAAAATGTGTTACAAATCTATAATTTGTACTGACTTCATTAAAAAGAAAATTACTGGTATTCTACATGTATCGTGACAGATCACAACAGATAACCATGGTCTTTTACTATTTTGTAATTTTTATAAAACAATAGGTGTACAAATGCATATTCATAGAAATATACAAATTACATAAATAAGAAAACACATTTTATAGAATATTAATTGTTTAAGGACAAGATATTTAATGACTTAAATTGTGTCGCCATCTTCAGGTCACAAAAGCTTGCGAAAATGAACACAATTTGTCTCATTGGTACCAATATAGTACACACAAAAATAATGTAAATATAAAGGAGTCTTTTTATTTTAGAGGGCGGAGCTCTCTCACGGGCCCGAAGGGCCCGTGAGAGCGAAGTTCTCCCTATAGGTAACACGTATGTAAGAAAAATAAAGATTATTCACAATACCTATGGAACTGAAAAACTTGTCTTAACATGGCCGCGAGTCGCACGCGCTGTAGTCTCCGCCATCTTGATCTCGAAACAAGTTTTCGTTTGCCGAATCTCGAACAAACGTTACATTTTTGTAAGATTTAAAACTTATATCTAACTATAGGGTACTTAGATATTTGATACTTTCCGGTTAAAAATGTAAATTCTCTTGACATAACGTTACCGGCTACATTGCTCTAGTTCTGAATGGTCGAAAAAGTATTGTATCGGCAGTGTAGTCTCGTTCAATCAGACGCTTGCGAAGACAACAAGCGTCTGGTTGAACGAGACTATCACGCAGAGTTACGGTCCTTGAACCCTGGGTAGAGATTGCAGTGGTATATATTTAGAAAACGGAATATTAACCAGAGACCTAAAGTAAATTTAGGTCTATGTATTAACAAAACAACTTGCTGGTTGTCAACAAAAAGGGAGTTTATCACAGAGACGCAAAATAATAGGATTAAAAAAAACATACAAGTATTTTCATAAGAATTTTTTAATTGATATTTTGCACGAAAAAAATAGAAGAAAAAAATTGAATCCATATCCTCGGGTTACCGGTTTCCGCGCACTTAAGAAGCATCCGCGATTTCGTACTCATATCGACATGTCTATTTTGATTTAGTGTTCAAAGAAAGATAACACGAATACACTAAAAAGAACTTCTCTACAGGGACCTGCAAGAACAAATGCTGCGTTTGTAATACAAAAAATATATTTGATCGTCAAATTAATTATCAAAATAAGTTTTTTTAAATTTCACATTTTTAATTGATTTTTCAAGATGTCAAATTGAACGAAATCATGTATTTTTTTAAAATTATTTATTATATTTATTTAGTTATGATATAGAATCTGTTATTAATTTTTTCTGCAGTTTTATATCGGTTTTGGTTGATGGTAAGTTATTTCTCATTTTGTTCTGTTTGAAATTAGTGAAAATTGGAAGTTCATTGCATTACAAGGTTTACGTTTCATTAAAAACNATTATATGAATCATGCGATAATTAATTTCCAAGAGATGTAATATTAATGAAGGCGTGAAATGTAGTTCGTGTCTACATTATAATCAAGCTAACAACACTTAGATCAAAGTGTGGTTAGCTCAATGCTATGATGGGTTCGGTAACGGGTTGTTTCGCCCCAAATCCCGTTCGCCCTAGGTTGTTTCGCCCTCAAAAAATATATTTCGTAAATCATAAATATCATGTTAATTTTTTATTTTTTTTTATCTTTCTCTTGAATCAAGATATAATTACGTGCAGGAAGATGTAGAACGAACCTGTATATTCATCACCGAAGCCGACAACGGACATACTAATATCCGGAATATACTGCATATTTTCATTTCATTACCTTAATTAAGTAATGTTGTTCTTTATAAAATGCACCTGTACATGTTTTAACGTTACAAATGTAAAATAGTAATACTTATACAACTTCTAACATGATATAAACAATTAAAATAGTAATACTTACACAACTTCTAACATGATATAAACAATTAAAATAGTAATACTTCTACAACTTCTAACATGATATAAACTATTAAAATAGTAACACTTATACTACTTCTAACATGATATAAACAATTAAAAAGCACCCTGTCACGTCACCCACTTTATATCAAACATATTTGAATATATGGACATATAATGAAACTAAATTAATTTCTCTAAGTACATAGATACGTATACAAATAGAAAAAGATTAGGTACAAATTGCATATAAGAATGAAAATAAATTGATACTTTCTCTAAGTTCAATACTTATAATATATATAGATAAGATATGGACATATATAACGTAATGTTGAATTATAACACAGTATTGAGAAATGCCCTATCTATGACAAGTTACCTACTCAAAATTATCTACTTAAATATGCATATAAAGTTTTGTTATTTCCTAGAAATTTGGTTAGCTTAAAGCTTTATTTGTATTATTTCATAAACAACTAAATTATGCTTCATAAGAGTCCGCTAAGTTACCTTAGGAAAGGCTTAAAGTTTTCCCCAGCTTATGACTATTTCATGAACTTGTAATTATTATGTATGGAATTGAATATATTGCATATGTTCTCCGCCATAGTACAAGATATTTATAAAGTATTTATCAATATGTATATTTCTGTACGCCTATATATATGCAATGTGGATTTGGTAATAAATTGAATTGAAATTGAAATATTATTTTTTATTGGTCGGTACTATCAAAACTTCTCAAAATGATCTCCTCCAACTAGCAAAAAACAACATAGATGTGCGCAGATATCAAGTAAAGAAAACACAGTGACGATTATGTGTATGCTAGACTAAATGTGTTAACATGGAAAAATAATTTTGTTGTATACCCCGTAATGTAATTAAAACTACACCATTTATATTTCATTTCACTATTCTTATTTATTTCTAAAATTAAATTCAATATATTTTATAATGTGTGTCAGCGTGAAGACAATAACGCAATCTATTTTTTGCTTTACAATGTACTTAAAAACAACACAAACACATTTTTTTTTAGTTAAACTGATTTTAATGATATGAAAGACTAAGAAGACTTAATTTATGACTTAAAACAAATAAAAATGGAAAGAAAATACCAAACAATGTTTCGCCCTAATTTTTTTGTTAACCTGGCGCGAAACAACCTAGGGCAAACAGGATTTGGGGCGAAACAACCCGGAACCGATGGGTTCCAAGCTAAATTAAATCTTTTGTTTACTGTTGTGTACTAAACTATCGAAAAATCGACATCATACTTAAGACCTCTGTAATTCAGTAGTTTCGGTTATTTAGACATCTTCTATACAGGGTAAATCATATGGTCTAAATAATTTCAGTAACAATCTATTATAGTTGAACTTATTGAATTATTTGTTCTTGAATTAATGGAATCTTAATTAATGACTTTTACTATATTACATTAAATCAGGGGAGATTGATGACATTCTAATGATGTCTCAGCTAGTGACACGTACACCTTGGTTTTAATTTGCTGCCATTCTCCATTTGGTGTTGTTGTAGTAATACTGGTAGTAATCTTTTCCATTTAATTGTTAATTTATTCAACAGAGGTGATGTCTGGCCAAGTGAAAATAACAAGGCAAAGGATGATCCAGGTAAACAGTTGTCCAAAATACCTGTATCTGGTGCCAGACAGCGTAGACGAAACAAGATTTCCAGTGTCACAAAGCCAGTAGTTCGGTCTAAGGTCAAGACCTACCGACCAGGTTATACCTGGGATAGGGGTGGGAGATTAAAGGAAATCAGAATAAGGTAAAGTTGTTTTATTTTTAACTTTCGCTTATTAATGTCAACTTTAAGTGCTAGCCAGAGTCAAAGGTCAACGTGGGTTAAAAGCTTTGAAATTAAAATATGAAATTTCAAGCAACAAGATCTTGAAGCGATTAAGAATATGTTAAAATGTCTTGTGTTCTAGTTACCAAATTTGGTCTGAAGTTACCTATATGTCAGTTTCATGTAACAAAAGAAACATGTGATGGATACAGGCCCTCTGGGCCTCTTGTTATGACACAGATGTGTATTGTATGTTGACTAATTCAGTTTGGATATTGATGATGTTTAAAACTATTTCCAATGAATCATTCAACTGCCACATCAAGATACATTGGTTATTTATATATATAATGAGTACCAACCTTGTTATTGTACACTGTACAAAAGCAAGTAAAGATCTAGTTTGCGCCCTATATTTAGGGCAGATAAAAAAACAGAAATTCTTAGTAAAGAACAAGCTATTACTTACTTAATGCAATAACGAATATTTATATATATAAATATGTCATTCTGCATATAACAACCTTTTACACTGTATCATTACACTTTTATTCAAAACATTTTTTATTTCTTCTTTTTTTTTAGGTGTCAAGCAAGGAAATTTTCATCAATTTGGAAAAGAAACACATTTGGCAGAGTCATGCCATCAGTTGCGAGGTCTGTACCATTTAAAACAATAGGAAACAATACAGTTCTTGATTGAGTTTGAGGGCAACATACATTTTGTTGGACCCAATTTGAAAATCAAAACATGCTGAGGGTAAATGTGAGTCAGGTCTGAGAATCCAAATAACACAAACAACTTTTTTATTGCTATTGTTATTGTTGGAAATTGAAAATTGTCTAGGTTGTGTTTTGTCAATGAATTGCGAGGCCATCATTAATTATTCTTGTCGGAATCGCCGACAACAAATTGAGGATGTCCTTAAAATTTTATAGTTGAAATCTCAACCATTCTCATGCACACACAGCTAAAGATTTGACAAATATGATACGATGGTGCATTTACCCATTGTCAACAGCGATCCAGCTGTTGGCCATTGGCTGTCAACAGTTCATGTATTGGGATGTTTACCCTAACAAAAGAAAGTAAAAAATGTACAGAGAATGAATTGGAAGTACATAATGTATTTTGTAAAAGTATAATATTTAAGCTTTTGATGGAAACGTTTTGGATATAAGCAAATTGTAACACTTGGGTTTGAAGTAAAAAACCAAAACTTGTGTGAACTGGGTGCATACGTACCCGGTAAGCAGAATCTTAAAAAAGTTAATGTTAGCTATATAGATTGATAATAATTAAGTATCATAATCAATGATTATGATATTCAAGAATCTGATGCTTTTTTCTTCAAACCCAGCTACCGCTTTGCTTATCCAAAATGCTTCCAACAAAGCTTAATAGGTATACATTTACAAAATACTTCAAATTTAAACAAAGATTTGAAGTTAGTGATTGTTGTTTGAAGATGTAACTGGCTTGTCACATTGCTCTAATCAAATTTTGTTCTGAACAACAAATCAAAATTGTGAACAAACTGGGAAAATTAGATTATATTACAAAGAAAAAAATGTACTTTGTGAATTGTATTTTATCTTTACCATCAGATCATCATCTACATCAGTTGTCAGACAATACACCCTAATCCATCAGACAGATTGTCACTTGAAACTTTGATATAAAATTAAGAATGCTTTGAAGCAATGTAACAACAAAATAATGAAGTACATGTACTCCCTCAATTAAAGATATGACAATAGTTGAAGCATGCATGGATCGGAATGGAATTACATGACATGCATTTTTTGACCTTACTACATTTATTACATATTGATATCCTATTTTCGTAGGGCACACTACCGTAGAAAGCTGATGTTGGAAGCCTTCAGGGATTGGTACGATATGTGGTGGGTTGTGCGCAAGGAATGGCGACTACTCGTCCGGGCAGAGTGTCACTACAGGTATATATACATAGCGAGTGATCTGGTTGGCTAGTTTGAAACAGATCCGTCAGACTTTCGGAAGTATTAAATGTATTTTCTAAATTAAAGATGTGATTCTCAGCAATATTTCACTAATGAAGAAATGGAAATCCTTTCCATAATATTTCCATTACCAATAACATCTAAAGAAAAACATATTCAAGGATAGGCTCCAGAATAATAAAAATCAGTTTTACCTGTTATGAAGTTGATATTTAAGTCCAACAGCATTCACCTGTTAATACTATTTATATGACTCCTAATAGTTTAACTAATATGTACAACTCTTTAAAACTCGGTAGAGTTGAACCGTCAGAGAAGTCAAATATTTGTGTTTGTCCCGTGGAATTCGACTTATCCAAGGTTTACTTTGATATTTATATGTATACCTGTGCACTATATTACCTGAATAGAGCTCATCCTGTATCAATGCAAAGAAATATCAGGTCCTGCTAGAGCTTATCACCTGTCCAGATAGGGTTAAAGCCTGTCAAAAGCCTATATCTTATATTATCTATGATGTTGCTCATGTCTGTCCAGTTGTCATCACTCTACTATGTTAACAATTAGTTTTGTTTAAAATAGAAAATTTCCTTACCCTTGAAGTTAGTAAACATGATGGCAGCAGTATTCATGTCTTACAAATATTTGGTTGTTAAACATGTCAAAAAATGGCAGAAATCTAAATAGAAACAAGTTTGATGCTTGGTTATTTTATTTTAATTCACGTGAAAACAAATTAAGATAACTTTGTATATCTTGATGAGTCATATTAAGCCTTTATATTATGCTATTGTATTTTATAACAATGGTCATCTTTACAGTTGTGTATATAGTTTTTTTATCCATTCCTTTCCAGATACACAATATACTCTAGAACTGTCCATGCTTGGAAACACTTTGTCATCCTACAGAAGATGAAATCTGGTCGATTCTCGACTGCCCACACACATTGTAAGTGTTATATCATATTACCTCTGGTCCACAAACAAATTGTCTGTAAACTGTTAATCAATTACATGTTTTTGTTTGTTAATTGTTGTGGAAAGTCAATCACAAAATCAAATATGTATATAGCAATGAATGTTTATAATTCAAAGTTTATTTCAAAATTTCAGATTTGTTGTTTGATGCACAAAGCAAGAATCAGTATGCACAAAACTAAATAGAAAATAAGATTAATTACAAAACTAGGGCCTTACTAATCTTTGCCAATTTTGTCACAAACATAGCACATTATGATACAAGTACAAATTTTAGTTACCATGTATGAATGAGTTTGTTTATGATGGTGAAGTATTTAAGAAGATGGGAAAGTCCAACTCAGTCCAACTTAATATCAACATCATAATCCTTAGAGCTTACATTTTAATGTCTGTAATAAATTGTATGATAATTTATCCAGATACGGGAAAACTAAGCCATAAAGTCCTGCTGGCTTGGATACGGTTCACCGCACAGAGAAGGGAGGAGAGAAAAAGAAACGCTATCGCTGTCAACTTTCACAATGCTCATTGTTTAGGGTAGGGATTGTGAGATTTAGCTATATGGCAATACACATTCCATAGTGCTGATGTAATGGTTAAGGTCAGAGGTAACTGTTGCTAATTTTAGAACACCTTTGTTGTCACCATAGTAACCTTATATTTTTTGAGTATCGATTTAACTTTAAACAAATGTTAGGTATAGATAAAAAATATCAAAGGCAAATTTGTTGCTTAAGGTGAAGGAGGTAAGGTCAAGGTCGATGTCAATGTTACTATCATTAAAAACTTTTGTCATAACTCTAATGACTTTACCTTCTAAAAATATGTTTAAACTTTAATGTATTAATGGCAAGAGATGATAGTTCTTGAGGAAAAATTATGTTGTTAAGTTTTGCTGGTTAAGGTTTTAAGGTTTTTACTGCATCTTTTTTTATGGGGAAATCTTACTTTTAAACATTCGGTAATCCCTGTACTTGTTTGTGGTATGATTACAGTCAGGCCTGGCTTGAGTGGAAGAATCAGCACACACTTGTACAAGAAAGAGCAGAAATGGAAGCGACAGCGCTGCAATTCTGGGCTTACCGCCTCCAAACACAGGTACTGGTAGCATTTTACTACATGTAGTGATTTTTTAATCATTGAAGAAAGCATGTTGATTTACCCTGACAGAAATATGTAATTATCCAGCAGAGTCTTGTAGTTGTTCTTTTTGAACCTTTTTCAAATAGATTTTCTGGATATGCCTGCATGCTTATATTATGAACAACTCTGAAAAAATTTATAGAATAAACAATACTAGTTCCCAGTGATGATTCCACAACGCTGTAGGTCATATTTCTACACTGTAATTTATAGACTTTTGTACTGTAATGCTTTACATTAATATAGTATTATTAAATGAATCATCCAAATTTCATGTATCATATTAAATCAGGCTCAGTCAGCATTAAGTTGTGTTTTTAACAATATCTTCCTGTGTAGTTCTGGCTTATCTGGCGTAGAAAGTTAGACGTGCTGCAGGAGAGAGAGGCTAAATTGAACCTGGCCGTGAGGTTTCACAAATATACCCTGAAGAAGAAGATACTCATGGCCTGGGTGAAATACTGGTTGGGAAGGAAACAGATACAGCAAGAAAAGGGTAATTACAATTTTATGTATTCAATGTGATTTCTTGAGTTTCCTTGGGTTTGTTTGTCCTAATTAATGCCTTATGATTAAAAATAAAAATACTCGAAATTTATCCCTTTTACCACTGTAAACCATAATGGACTCCTCCATATTAATGCATGGAGAGTCTACTGAAATTACATAGGGGTGAAAGGGTTATTTTGACATTACATATATATATTGTTGTTGTCAATTACAAGACATCACTTCCAGTGTTCTGAGCCTTCACGGTTAATCACAACAGTATTGTAAGCTGATCAGCTGGTCTGAAGGACCAAAGTGAGCATCTGCCCTACATTGGCGTCCGTCAACAATTTCTTCAAATGACTTCTTCTTAACCACTGATTGTAATTTTATCAAATTTGACTGGTAGTATCCCAAGAAGGTGGGGATTTAATATTGTACAAATGAAGGGAGCAGACCCTTAGGTGACTGAGGGACAGAGCTAAAATGGGGTAATTTGCCATATTGCATTAAGCAACTTCTTCTCTGAATCTAAATCCCACTATATATGTGACATTAACATTTCACCAACCAAATTGTGGCAGTATAGAATGCTATGGTATTTAATTATGTTGGCAGCTTATTATTTTCATCCCTCCTTCTGTGTCTTCTACATAAATGACATTGGAGAAACATGAAATGTCCATCTGCTACCCCAATTATAATTCTTGGGATTTCTAGTTTTTTTGTTTATTTCTCTTTTACCTGCACTTTCTCTTTGGCAGTGTCAGCCTTAGTCTGAATTATTCTGACGTTTTATTGACTTTTTTCATATCGGTCTGTCGTCGATTAACATCAGAACTCCGGCCCTCTATAACATGCGGGAAATATGCGACCCGCGCCCGGAGCGCACTTCAAATCGACGACAGACCGATATGAAAAAAGTCGATAAAACGTCAGAATAATTCAGACTAAGGCTGACACTGCCAAAGAGAAAGTGCAGATAAAAGAGAAATTAACAAAAAAACTAGAAATCCCAAGAATTATAATTGGGATAGCAGATGGACATTTCATGTTTCTCCAAAATATGTTTTTAGTGATTGTTTTGGTTGTTTGAGGCATGTTATGTATGTTCATCTTGTGCATAAAGAATAGATCTTTCGATCCATGAGCGACATGTGTGTGAAAGTGACGATTTGTTTCTAAAATATCAGTTTAAAGTGCGCTCTGTGCGCGGGTCGCATATTTCCCGCGTATTATAGAGGGCCGGAGTTCTGACGTTAATCGACGACAGACCAATATGAAAAAAGTCGATAAAACGTCAGAATAATTCGGACTATGTCAGCCTATAGGCACACCTGGTTAATTATAACCTGTTCTCCAAACAATGTGACCAAGTTTGCTGTCATTCTACCGAGGCCAAGTTAAAACATAGTACAGCTGTAGAAAGCTCATGTAGCATGACTATTAACGTGTTTATGTATGACATTTTGAGGAATAATTTGGAATGTACTCTTGTCACCTTCATAAGACAAAGGACAAGTGAAGTGTATGTACACTAGGGGTACAACAATATATTGGCGAAGGTATATATCACGACATTTTGAATATGATGCGATACACAATGTTTTTTAGGAGGTCACAATACACCTACGACATTTCCCAGATTTTGTCATTTCTGAATTAAGTCTACTCATATCCGTTCCAACATGGTGAGTGAAACACCAACTTGGCATGCACGTCAAAAGACGTGAATTGTGTGAAACTTTTCAAGTCCTGCTCATGTTGGAACAAGTCTATTTCCAGTTGTAATATTACCATTAAAGATTTGCAACATATCTTTTCGCTCTGTTTCTGCTGTTATTTAATGCATATGTATTGTGATACAAATGGTATCGTGATACGTATCATATCGTCATGTTAATGTATCCTTGCAGCCCTAATCTACACAAAGGTGTTTGTACAAGTTGGCGATATTGAATCGTTGTTGATTCGGCTACGCTATACTATAGTGTATGTACTCTTTAAAAAAATCAATAATAACTTTTTTTGAGATAACACTTCAATGTGTCCCTTGAGTAGCCTCATTATCAGCTGTCTTCAATCTCTCTGATCAGGGTATTATTATTTTCTTGTTTGCAGGATATGCGAGGTTGCTGTACCACCGACACCTGAAACGCCGGTTGTTTAACATGTGGGTGAGACGCTACAACATGAGCCAGTCCATCAAAGCACACCAGGAATACATGGTTGTCCTTGGTCAACAATTTCAGATGCGCAAGGCATTTGTACGCTGGAAATTGTGTATCCTTATTTTACATTTTTATTTGATGAACATATGTTAGCCTGTTGCCCCCAAAAAGTTAATTCCTTAGAAGCGTTCTAGATATGTTTAATACAACATTTTGAATTATAATATATAGTAAAACCTCAAATAATGTAAGTCTTCTCCCCAGGGTTTCAATATAACTGGGTGCTCAGTCAGGTTGGTTGCTCGTATTGCAATTGGTCTGTTACAATTGTTTCACCGATATGTCAATTATGACGTGGTACGATGACTTGTCCTGTTTTAGTTTATAAAGCTACTAGAACAGACCTCTATGAAAACATAACTGTAATGGAAAGAAATCAACAAAACATCAAGATTTTTGTCTCTTTTTAATCCTGTTTTATGAAATGGGAGGTACATGTATATCTTGTTGGCTTTGTCAGTGTATACATACATTCGTCCTTGTTTGCTGCCATGCTTGCTTGCGATCCTGTTCCGCCGATTCAGGTACGGAGATGTTACTTGGTATACATAGAGGATATTTGATGGTTTCTTCAGTAATAACAAATTTATTTCACGAGTGTGGCAAATATTTTGATATTTTTCACGAGTGCACAATTGTCACATTAAGACAACATTTATCCTTTAAATGATTCCAAGTTTATTTATTAACTAAAAATATTGGTGAAATGTTTAAGATTTGATGAAAATATGATTATCCTTAACTTGACCAAAAGATGTCGATGGCATTCATAGGGAAAGAAGGGCCCACCAGATGGCAGCACAGCATTGTGTTCGGAGACTCATGGTAAGGGTTTCTCCTGGCTGTTATCTATTTACGATGGTACATTTTTGCTAACTCAAAGGTCATCGTGACCTATAACTAGGCCTGTTTAGAAAGGAAAACAAATTGTCTGGAGTCTGTCTCTGATAAGATCTCGAGTAGGATCAGAAACATCCTTGTGATGTAGAACTGGTACATCTTGGTGGCATGGAGCTTCAAAATAATTATGTCATAAGGAATGAATTTTGCAAAACAACAAAAAATCGTCTGTGGTCCTGGAACTGTATGGTTTGATTCATCAGACTCCTGTTAAAATCCAGGGAAGGAAGTACCCACATATGCTATATGCTATGACGAACAGTATTTGCTAGTGACTTTTGTAAACTATGCACCCTCAGAGCTTCCACAATAAAATGTATTTACCATGAGCACAATTTTTGTATCATTAATTTATTTCTTCAAGACAAATGAATGAAAAATAAACATTTTTTTATCTCAAATATGGTTGGTCTGTTAATTTCACAGGTGTTTGGCCTGTCCTGTCTAAAGCTACATGTGATCCAACAGAGACTGAAACAGACCAGACATGAAGTGGCTCTCCAACACAGGGACAAAATGGTTGGTTTATCCATATTAATTATATTTTCATTAGTTGTCATAGTGTGACACTAACAGATTGCTTCAATTGGATGTAATGCAAAGTACATTTACCTTCTCAAGTTTTAGAATGAAATACACACTAAATATTTGGTTATATCTACTCTGAATATTTTGAAAACATTTTACTAGAATATGTCTCCTTTGTGAGTGTTAAGAGGAGTAGTGCTGAAAGAAAGTGAAACCCGAATAATTTACTGAAAGCATCAGTCAAACCACCAGACATATGTATGTATGGAATAAAAAAAGATGTAGTAAAAAGAATGTGTGCTTGCTGGGGATCAAACCTGCGATTTCAGACTTTATAGCCGGACCCTCTAGCCGAAGCTAGTAAGGAGACGTTGACACTATGTACAATAAACATCTTTTACACGTCTCCACACTTTTTCAAAGTTTTTGCTCTCAAAGACAACCCAAGTTTCTTTTGCTCCCAGCCAAGGGTTATTTTCTACCTTGAATAGGGAGGATCAATGGCACCAGTTTGTTACAGGACAGAAGTAGTAAAAAGAATGTGTTTGTTGCTGGAAATCAAACCTACAATCCCAGATTTTCTAGTTGAATGCTCTATCTGCAGCTGAGTCAAAGGGAAATTTCCCCAGACCTTAGCTAGTTAATTGACTTTGACACTATAGATAATAAACATCCTGTATAAATATTTATGTATACTGATAACGGGAGAAATAGGCAGAGGTATCAAGGCTGGGGAAGCGGTCAATATTATCACAATGCTTTCACAATTTCTTGATCCTGTATATATTTTGAAGAATCTTACAAATGATCTGAAATGCCTTTGATTTTACAGCTTCTCAAGACCCATTGGGAAGTCTGGATGATGCGATGTGAAAATAATGAAGAACTAGAGCTCATTCCTCTGACCAGGAGAGCTAACCATCACTACAGGTGAGTCCTACTCTCTATCACAAAAGTTATTTCTACAACAGTTGAACATTGTAAACTCTGTGTCACAGAGAAGCTTGACAATACTGTTGGGCAGAACATTGTAAACTCTCTATCACTCGGATGCTTTGCAGTATAGTAAAAAAATATATATCAAAAAAGCTACTTTTCCGCATGATTTTGAGCAAAATTTACTTATTTTTTGCTTCATTGTCCTCAATATCCTTGGAAACATTAACTAAATGTTTATTTTACTCCCATAAAAAAAGACAACAAAACACAGCACACAGCAATGCACAAAATGTCGGGGCTCAGAAAAAGATGTAGCATAAAAACAGGTCCTTATCGAAATATTAACTAATAACTCTCTCTGAAAATATTAAGTTGGATGAAAGCTGTACTGTATTGAAAATGGCAAAGAGAGTGTCAAACTTGCTGAAGAAGCTTGATTTTACAGAAAGTTACTGTTTATTAAAGTTCATTGGCAGGTCATACTTGAGGTTATAACCAATAATCAGTAGTAAGATGTTTGTTTTGTAGACAGGTAATGCTGTCCAAAGTGTGGCAGGGTCTAGAGATGTATGTCCACTGGAGGCGGCATAGAAAGGTAGGATCACCCCCCACCACCACCAC